ATGCCCGTAGCTGCGTGGCCTGCGCGCGATCATATCCGGGGTGGTTGGCCGTGGGCCAGGGCTCCCGCCTACCACTGGTCCGGATTCATACTCTGCACTAGAGTTGAAGCCGTAGCTGCTGAAGCTGGATCCGTCGCTGCTGCACTTGGGAGGCCCATAGCTGCTGATGTGTGCTGACATTGAAGAGTGGCCAAATAACCGTGACTGTACTTGTGTGGCTACGGTTCCGAGGACTGTGTTCGGGAGGTTAGGTCAGTCGCGTTCTGACGAGGGCCGGGCACCAGCGGTCAAAAACGCGGTCGGGAGATTGTGTCCTCACATAAGAGAGCAAACCGATATGCTCTCCGCGTTTCTGTTGCACCAACCATGATTGAGGAGATGAAACATATACGATTGAAGATGGTGTTTCCAAAGGCGTGCGAGCGAAGTGCTAGGAAGAAGAAATGGTGTAAGTTGGGATGTATATGCAAAATCTGGCTCCGGTTTTGTCTTCCCACTGCTGCGGCAATCAGACTCCAAGTCTCGTGCTCGACCCGCTATGGGGCAACCTGGCAGGCAACTCCAACCTAGCAGGCAACTCTCGCCTCGGGCCTCGACCGCCTTACACAAGGTAGATCTCCTGCTTGTCGCTGTAGACCGGCGTCCCCATGCCATGTAGGGGCCCATGCGCATGGCGAATGACTCTAATGGCCGAGCCCCTGAAACCGGCGACCAACTCTACCAAGAGCACCACAGCCGATACCTCCAAGACTCCTTCAGCTCCTCCTCACGTGGCCAGCAAAGGTGACGTCGAGAATGAATTCCCGTAATTCGATGTCGTTGTCCAGCATCTCAACCTTGATTCCAGCCTCCTCCAGCCGCACGATCCCCTCATTCAACTGGATGAACGTATCGGGTTCCCGAATACCGACATAAACAACCTTGATAGCGTTTCCCAACGCCAAGATTCTCTCCACGCACGTCCGGCTCCCACTCAACCTCTGATTGCACGGTTCCATGGTGGTGTAGAGAACCGTATTCCGCGGAAGAACCTCGGCAATATCAAAGTCGTGGACGCCGTGTCGGTCGGCAACCTTGATGAAGCAGCAATGCTCGGCATGCGTTGAGCCGGGGTCGCCGGGGCGATCCCGCGGCAGCTCTTCGGAGTAGCCCGTCGAGATGATCTCGTTTCGGTCGGCATCGACGAGGACCGCGCCGACGCAAAACTTGGACGGTGATGGTGGGGATAACTGTGCCTGTTCGGCTGCGTACTTCATGTATGCTTTGTGGTCGCCTGGCGGGAAGACTGGACGGTCGTGAGTGGCCATGTTGATTGAAGTTGTCGAGGGAAGTGTCAGGAGGATACTTTCAGTGGTTGTAACTTCCAGGTTGTGCCACTCCTCAGGGCTCAGGTTGCCTTCTTTCGGCTTCCCTTCTTTTCGGCAGGAGCTTACGCATGTCTTTCTTGGCACTTTGTGTGGTAAAGCACGCTCTCCAAATATGCATCGAGGCAATTAAAAACAGAGAGAACTTGGAAATAAGAGCCTTTGGAAGACGGAAAAGAAACTGCTCAGCCTACTGCACCAACTACGCGCAGATCTCTTTTTTACTGCAGAGCTAACCCCCCTATTAATAACCCAGCTCTTCGCTGTTTGATGACAAGCCAAGTATAGCAAGTTACCTGGGTAGCAATCCACCCCCCTTCCGAAGCCTGCAAGTCAATTACTGATTGAGTTTTACCTTAATTGCTCCATCGGTCGTCTGACTCGTATCCGCTTGCCCTTTGTGGCAGTATAAGGTGCAATTGCTAACCCACAATTGCAACGTTGTTTTTGCGAAACCTCTTAACTCCTCATGAGAAGCAGGAGCTGGCAAACTCCCCCTTGCCTTGTCGCGGACTTGTGGAACGGAGAACGGTTTCCTCTCTCTTATCGACCGACCGAAGCCAACCGCGTAGTCCGAGTACGGTCCAGATGATGAGGGGTCAGATTGACCCTGGATGCATACTAGTGTCATATAAGATCAAAAAACATCAACAGACTGCTTGATACTACTCCTTCCTGATCTCAAGGTGGGCTTTTGAGCTTTGTTGTTATGAGGGGCACCCGGGGAGAGTATGATAACCACCTCCAAGCGCCATCAAGTTGGGGCTCTTGACCCTCTCCGGGGGCCTTGTGTCCTGAGTCCTGACTCCTAGGTCCCGAGACTGAGTTGTTTACAGGTTACCGCTGGGAAACTGGGACATCCAACCATGCGATGCCTGTCCTCATGATTGCGTGGACCGCGTCCGGCTCCGAACAAGCCATGCTACCTACAATGGAATACTCCTGAGTCCTATGTTACATATATCGCCACACGATTGGACGTACTACAATACACTTCCGTGTGTTTGGGTAGCACGCCCTCGTATAACTGCGTACCGGACTGGCTGACGCTTGATTATCGTCACCGGACGTTGAACTCTGCTCCCATTCCAGCGGATATTTAACTGGGTCGGTCTTAGGCCATTTCCTCTCTTCCAATTCTCTACCTAATTATCCCAGAGGCAGAGCGCACAACCACCACCAATGCCACAAGACAAGTCCCAGCTTCCTCTTGACAGGACCCATCCTTTCTTTTGACTTAAATCTTCATCTTGAATACTTTCTTCCCTCCATCCTCGTTTGGTTTTGCTCCCCCATCCAAATTTGGGCGCCGGCATAATGGCCCCCCTAGCCAATACCACGGATAACAGCGGCTGGTTTCCCCCCGGGGCGGAGCCTAGCGAAGGCTGGCACGTTGACGCAGTAACGCTTGCTCTGCTCGCCATCATCGGAGACGCAAGGTCCGAGGACCTCACTCGCGCCATGACAGCAACTCGTCTTGCTATACTACCCCGTTTGGTCCCTGCAATGCAGTTACTGAGCGCCGTTCGCCCCGCGCGCCTACCCAGGGCCAACGCCACCCTCGCTGCTATCCACGGGCCAATCCCGGACGAGGTGTTCAGGAAGAAAACCATAGGGTACTTTGTCAACGTCCTTCATGGCATGGACGACATGCAACGCCTTGGATTCCGCGTCCTCGAAGTCAAACACAATACACAGAAGAAGAACCAGGACCTCGAATCCGCAAATGTCAAGTTCGCTAGCGTTCCCCCAAGCCGCCTGGTTCGCGGCGTGCTTATCTTCAGTTCCGCCCTTACCCTTGGTCTTTTTATTGCTGCTATTGCTTGGCAGAACGGTCCCGCCGCCCTGGCAGTTGCCTTCATGGGGATTTCAAGCTCCCTCATGAGCCATGCTAGCAGCTGGAGGCCAGGTACGCCTACAGGGAGTCTCAGGCCACGCGTGACCAGGAGGCCACTCAGCTTATCAAAATTCTCAACAACCATCGGTTTAACATGGTCGTCATTCGATGCAATGAGGCCGTTAGTGAGGAGCTGTACCAGGGTTGCATCGATTACTGCTCGTACTGAACCTGAGGTTTACGCTACGGAGCCCTCATGGCTACGGGAAGCGTTTCTCTGATGCTCTCAATTCTCATGCTGGGAAACTGCAGCTGGAGAGCGCGGGTCTCCATTGCTCTGTCATACATCGTGCTGAATTTACTTTATTGGATTGTCAGCATGTTGCCCCGCCGTCTATTTTGGGACATGGTATGTACATACACATGCACACGAATCCGCGAGCATGCTCAATGTCGTCTACTGCCACTCCAGTTGTGGAAAATAATGGGGCTGGCTGAACCGGGGGTAGAGCAGATACATCGTGAACGATGTGACGCCATCAGACGCCCTGAGCGCTCACGAAGATACAGTACCCAACCCAACTTCTCCTGATGAAAGAAAGAGCTCTACTCGAACGCTCTAGTTCGCTATTCGAGAAGTAGAGTCCACTGGGTGGGTGGAGAAGGCCGGCTGTGTCATGCCAACCGCGCCATGGCTTGCTGAGGCACAGCAGGCTATTGACCATGGAAACCGTGCTTGGCCAGCCGTGGCAAGGGAATTAGATATCATGTCACGGCAGTCACGCAATTGACGAATCCGCAGGATTCGATGGCAACGCTGTAGAACACATCATGTAGGTACCTAGCCATGGAATCGGCTTGGTTTCTAAACGGGTCCGAGCTGGAATTGGGGCGGGAACTCATTCGTGGTCAAGTCATACCCTCTTCAAACCATAACATAACGACCTTTGAGCGAGATTGGACCCTTGGGTTCTCGTCATACATGAAGGCAATCATGGTACTACCGATTGTCCCCACCTTGGAGACATCAACATCTTGGTCATTCTGCAGGTGGTTACTCATAGCGCTTGACTCTTGAGTCAATTCTTTGTGACGTAGCCATAAATCTTAGAGTCGTTTGTAGTCGTTCTTTTAGTATTTTTCCATCTCTAAATAGGTAATTTGAGGGCAATTGATATAATACAAATGGGAATGACCCGGTTCGATGTTTACGCTGCCTACCGATGTACTAGTATTAACACAAGCAGATGATGTTCTCTTGTATGGTTAGTAGACACGGCGTGCCCTTACAAATGACTAGTAGAGTGGTTCGGCCACACTCTCGGAAATTGTAGGGGCAACGATATAGTGTAAGTGGTAAAGGGAATGAAAATTTTGATGTTTTTGTCGGGATTCGGTTGTCGCCGGCCAAAAGACCTTGAGGCTCGATACTTGATAATTTATCTGTATTTCAGGGGACGTGTTTGGATCCAAGGCTTGCTTGTGATTGGTTGTTAGTCTGAGTTTCTCTTCATGGGACAAGTCGTGGTGGTGAGAAAATCAGAAGGAAAGGAAGTCGGCGATCGCCGTTGGTCCGAGTTGCAGATCAAGCGGCACCTTCCACTAACCGTTAGCGCCTCTTGCGCCGTGGTGACACTGTGGAGTCCCGAAGGAGCGGGCCCGCCCACAGCGCGGGCTGGCGGGCAAACGCGCAGGGCCAGCGACGGCGACTGCTCGGGCGGGGCTCCTGGTTTTTTTCTCCTCGGCCTCAGGCCCGGGGTCAGGATCCAATCATGGTGGGGTTGAGATCGAAGGAAACTTTTTCTGCCTTCGAGCATGTGTTGCTCACAGCTCTCCGACTGTGTATTTCGGTCTCCACATGAATATATTCTCTGTTCTTCCTTCGAGTGTTCTGTTCTGGTGAATCGCATCGCCTACCTTTTCAGATTCTCCCCGCACTCGCTAGCCTTCGTGTTAACGAAGAAAGACAACCCCGCCATTCCCCCAAATACTCTACCAAGAGACAAATCATCCCGCCAACCGTTACAATGGTCGAAAAGCTCTACGTCACGTATAACGATGTAGGCCGCCCGGCGAAACTGTTATTTTCCCACATGGGAACGGTATGGAACTAACGAATCCCGCGTGTGAAACAGGTGCACAAGCTGTGCCAGGAGGCTGCACCGCAGATCCTGGCCGACTTCAAGCCGCAGCTGATGATTGCCATCGGCGGCGGCGGCTACGTGCCGGCGCGTATCCTCCGCTCGTTCCTCAAGCAGCCTGGCAGCCCCAACATCCCGATCCAGGCCATCGGCCTCTCGCTGTACGAGCAGCTGGCTGGCTCCACCGACACCGAGGTCGAGGCCGCCGGCACCAAGGTCACGCGCACCCAGTGGCTGGACCTGACGGCGCTGGGCGAGATGGCCAACCTGGTCGGCAAGCGCGTGCTGATCGTCGACGAGGTCGACGACACCCGCACCACGCTCGAGTATGCCGTCAAGGAGCTGCAGAAGGACGTCGAGGAGGCCCGCGAGAAGATTGGCAGCGATCTCAAGACCGAGTTCGCCATTTTCGTCCTTCATGTGCGTTGCTCCCACATTTTTTCCTCTTTGTTACAGCTTGCTCCCGAACCCATACTAACCGGGCGACTCCCCGAACAGAACAAGGACAAGCAGAAGAAGGGCGTCCTTCCCGAGTCAATCACGAACGGCCGGTACCTGGCCGCCCGGACGGTCGGTGACGAGTGGATCTGCTATCCGTGGGAGGCCATGGACATCGACGAGCACGACAGGAACTCGGCCGCGGCCAAGGCGAAAAACGGCTTGTGAAGAGCCCTCGAGTAAAGACATAAACGAGGGGATACCCACAAGTCGCAGCATGCCCGCGCAGCCACAGGGACAAGAGGGAAAGGCAAGAAAGGGCTTTTTGGGCCGCTCGCGCTCGGCTCCCCGAAGCGAAAGGGGCGTCGCGGCATCTGGGATACGTGTTTCCATGAGGTTAGTCGAGCACTCACTCGGGAGAGGGTTTTGACAGCGGTGAGCATTGTGCAGGAGTTATCGGGCGGGAAGCATCTCGTGACGGCATATCGGCGGTCGCAGAGCAGGTCTGGGTTTTGGGATAGACAGCAGAGAGGCGTCGAGGGAAGCGTCGAGAACGCACATGGATAATACCATACCAAACCCCGACCGCCCAGCACTGAGTGAGTGATGACGGTTGATTATGGGCTCCGAGCCTCCAGCCTATCGACCACCTGGAAACCATAATTATAATACACGCCAGCGGCATCTATCCCCCCACAGTCCCCTCGCGCCGATGTTTCTCTTTGAGTCTCTTCTCTTGCTTCATGAACTCTCTAATCCCCACCGGCACATTTTTATACAATTCCTCGTCCCAAAAATCCTTTACAATCCTCCCACCTGACGACGACGGCGGCGGCGGCGGCGACCCCAGCTCCCAATTCCCCACCGAACCACCCCCGTCATCATCCACACTGACCACCCCCCGATCCACATCCCCATCATGCACGCCCAACTCCATCCCCCGCCCCCTCTCTACCCCATCCATCACCTCCTCCGTGACCCCCACCACGCCACCCGCCTCCTCGGCCGCCAGCCGGCGCTCCGCCTCGGCCTCCCGCGCCGCCCACTCCTCCATGTCGTCGCGGTAGCGATCCCACACGCAGTTGACGCACCCGCTCATGCAGCAGTTGTCGGGCTCCTCGGGCCGCGGCGGCACCACCACGCCGGCGACCACGCGGCTCTCGGCGCGCAGCCGCGCCAGCCGCTCGGCCCGCTCCGCGGGCCCGGCTAGGCTGGCCCCGAAGACGACGCGGGCCCGGGCCTGTACGGAGTTAGACCGCGGTTCTTCTTCTTGCGGGGATGGGTCTCGGTTTGTTTGTTTTGATGATGGTGGTGGTGGTGCTGGTGATTGTGGGAGGAGGGTTGGACCCGGGGGTGGGGGGGAGGAGGTGTCTGGAGAGGAAGAAGAGGAGGAGGGGACCGACTTGGCCTTGGAGCTCGGGCTGGTCTCGTCTTTGCCGGGCTGCTTTGCTTTGCGCGGGCGCCGCGCCGGCTTCTTGTCTTCGGCTTCCGGCTCGGGGGCCGCCTTTTCCTTTTCCTTTGTCTCGGCCGCGGGGGCGGCGGGCTTCTCCTGCGCGGGCTTGGGCTGCTCGGGCGCGGGTTTGGGCGTTTGCGCCGGGGAGGTCTTGGATGTTACCGGCGGCTGTTCGGGCTTCTTCTGCGGCAGGGGCCCGGGGGTACGCAGAATGGCCTCGTAGAAGGGTCCGACAGGGTGTGCCTGCTCCTTGGACGGGTCAACGGGCGACGGAGGAGAGTCGCTCTTGATGGGCGGCGTCGCAAAGGTGCGCCGTGATTGTTGGCCGCCAAACGCGCGGTAGACGGCGCTCGACGGCCCGGGTGCTGATGAAGGTTCTCCGCATGTTTGTAGCGTCTGTAGGGAGTGTATTTTCTAGGACTGCTAACGGCAGTCGTGGATGATACGTTATTGCGATGTCATGGAGTGAGCAGGGTTGAGGAAGTCGGTTTGTGGGACCGTTTTTGGACCATTTAACTGACGTTTTCAAAAATCTGCAGGGGCCCGACGATTGCGGGAAAATGCTTGGGAAAGTGGGATCCCGCTCGAGGACTTTGCCGAGGCCAACGTCATCGGGCAAAAGTCAGGTACCAGATGGTCGGTCACGTGCACTCGTCCAACCATCCTATGTTCCATTTCCATGGAAATTCTGTCCTCGGTTTAAATTCATTAAACCTTTTGGGGTTCCACGATCTTTACTTGGCGGGTTCTTTGGTGTAGTGGTTTGAAGGGATTTCGTCTGAATTATTGATTGGGAGCATCTTTCTCAAATTGCTTGACTCGGACAAGATACTGTGTATGTGGGTCATAACGGACAGTGCGATATTCCACCTACTGCACTGTACCCTCGCAACCCCCAAAGCTGCCCTTGCCCAAACAAAACATTGACACCCCCACCATCAGCGACAAAACAAGACCGAACCACCCCTTCCGACGCGTCATTGACGGATATTTCGCGCTGTGGACTCTCGCGACTATGATTGTATGAACAGAAAGTAGATTTCGCCGCGATGGAATCTCCGGCGCCTAAGAGGCGAAGAACCTCGCCTCGGAACGCAGTCCCCGTCGAGCCAGAACCCGAGTCGACGACACCTCAGGATGCGTTGCCTCGCATGGATTCCTCGCCGAGCCGCCCATCCTTTGCCTCTCCGACAAGAGCAAGCCTCGAGCGATATAACCCTGACATCCTCAGACGTCGAGAGAGCCAGCCTAGACGACTGCGATCCTCACCCGATGCGCCTCCCTCTCCCTCGCGCGCCGCTACACCCGATAGTGCGGGAAGCTTGACGCGCGCCATGCAAACCCAGCTTGAGTTGCGTTCTGCAGTTCGTGGTGGGAGGGAACAAGCAGGTTCAGAAGAGGACGGCGTTCTACGGTCTCCGGCGAGACGGCTAGGCTTGGGTAGGACCCCAACGAGACCGACACCGCGGCCGCTTCCGCCACCGGCTCCCGAGGAGGATGACGAGTTATTGAGGGCAATTACTGCGCGGCTACGGACAGGCGTGCCTCCTGGAGTGCTTCCAGAGGTCGTCGCCCCCGAGCCAGAGCTTCCACCAACGCCCGAGCACCCTGACCCCGTTGTCAGCACACCTCCTTCTGGGATACACAACACTCCGTCAAGGCGACCTAAGCGGAATCGCGCGCTGGCTGAAAGGCTTAAGAGTTCCTCCCCGCTGAAACAACCACCGCTTCGACCCTCGGAGCTACCGGCACCGGAGGCTGTATCATTCGGACTGCCGGCTAAGACAGCGCAGGTCCAAGCCACGGCCCCGGCGGCCCCAGCGCCGACAAACGCCGAGTTACGCGGTCTCAAGCCGGTGGACCCCGATGCCGACAAGAAGAAGCTCCGCGACTCATTACTCGCCGAAGTGAACCAACTCGAACGAGACCTGGACGTCGCAAGCAAGGAAAACGAGCGCATCCGCCAAGCGCGCCTGTCCCGCCAAACCCCCTCCCCTCCCGCCAACGCCGACGAGATCATCGACCTCCTCGTCCGCCATGTCCTCCCACCGGAAGCCACCGCGCCAAAACCAGACCCCATCGAGACCTGGCTCGCCTCCGCCCTCAACACCATCGCCTTCCTCCGCTTCAGAAAGCACTACACGACCGGCGCACCAACCCTCCCGGCAATACGGCGCAGTGCCTCACCGGAAAACACCCGCCCCCTGCGAATATATGTGTAGAACATTGCCCAGGAACCCCTTGTGAACATGCTGTCCTAACATGAAGATCACCGCTCCAGCTGCGCTCGGGTAGAAGAGGTGTGACGACGTTGCACACTGCTCTCAAAAGTACCAGCTCACCAGGGTCTGCCTTGCTGCTTCGGGAATCCAGCATGAAGATTTCTCCACGCGGGG